TGGAGATATAGGAGCATTCACATTGAGAAGAGCCGAGGTCTAGTAAGGCCGCGACCAAAATATGGCGGACCTACATGAAAGGAAGACCGCTTAATCCATTAATGGTCTCTCCGCCTCTCACACGGCTCCCCGCTCGTTGTCCCTGCAGGGGCACAGTAATTAAATCTCGGCTCAATTAAACCGGTCGAGGGACGACGCGTGGGGAGCTGTGTGAGAAGCGGTGAGACCATTACAGGATAATGTAGGTCCGCTATATTTAGATCGCGGCCTTATTAGACCTCGGCTCTTCTCGGTGTGGATGCTCCCTATCATTACCCGACACAAAGAAATGGTCTTATCTCGCAGGTAACTGTCATTCCCTATCTGCACATGTAAATAACACAGGAAGTTGGGACGATACTATCATATCGCTTGAAATGTCTCCTTAAATACCCTCTACCAGGGTGGCAGATATTGTAGGCCGATTTAAAAAAAGCTAGAGAATCGAATATCTGAATATCTTGTGAAAAATCAGTCTGTCGTCCTGGTAGAGGGTACCCTTCAAGTGCCCCTGTTTATACTAGGTTAGAAGATAAAGAAGATACGAAAGTGGTAATTGGCCTTTGAATCATGATACCTTCGGGTAAACATTCGGTTTTTTCAATTTCCCATATTGTCAAGTTAAGCTATATTTTGGTTCCTAGGTTTATAATACTGTACACCGGAACACATCATCCCCACAATGCTCCGGGACGTTCTTTTCTAATTTTATTATAATGATAACGATTACTTTTTGAATGATGGATTCGAAAATTTTGTCTTTCTTTTGAATCTCTGTCATGTCAATTAGCAACAAGAAAGAGATAATACAGGTTAATAAATCATATGACATACGAAATCAGAATAACAGGTTGAAATCATTTGAAGCTGAAACATGTAACACTCTTGAAATTTGAGCCGATTTTGATATATTATTTTTTCTATTAGATCTAAAATGATTGTTTTTGAAATTATAAAGTATCATTTAGTCGAGGCAAAATAATATAATAAGTTTCACATCTATCTTTACAACATTTGTGACACTTTATTCAATATTAGCCCCTGTTTTTGAAATGACCGTAATAATTACCTTCCGTATAATGTTCTTATCTTGACTCTACATATTTCCATTACTTCATGAGCATCTATGATTACACATGTACAATATATTGAAGAATCGGTGAATAACATTTATAAAACTTTTGCTTTATTTCTACCCCTAATTCACACGCATGCGTGCTTTGTTTCCAGGTGCAGCCTGCGGGAGATGGCGGTGGTTTGCCTGGTGGTGTTTGTTAGTGCCTCACTTTACCTTGCCATTTACTCGGAAAAAAGCTCGCCATTCAAGGTACACGTGGTGCCGTTAATCAAACAGCCAGGCGATGTCGTAAAATGGAGTAACAATTCCTTCAAGGAATTGCCGAAGGTCTTCACTTGTGAAACATGGATTGTTGCGGATACCGGGAAATATCCCTCCGCTCAACGAATAAAAAATGTCCTTGATAAACTACAGGTTCAATGGTGTGCTATTTTTGTGTCAGAAACTTTCACGCGGTCTTATACACTAAAATTCCCACAGGGGAATCAGTACCGCTTGCATATATTTGTACCAAGCAAACAAAACGGTACAATATACGAAACAGATGCGTCGAAATACGCCACTATTCTCAAGTACCACGTGAGTAGAAAAACAATTGGCTATTTAGTAGCTATAGCCAAAGGTGCGAGGATGATTTATGACGACGATGAAGAAATTGGACACGAATGGCTGGCCTCTAGCCCGCCTCTCGATAACAAAGGTGCTGATATCCCTTTTGTTATACCAGCAGGTAAAGTGAATTTTTGGAACCCCTTTTCATATTTTTACTTCAAAAAAGACGTTTGGCCAAGAGGTTTTCCAGAAGAGGTGTCGAGACGCCCTGCCTGCAATGCTCCTCCGGTGCCATACGCATTGCGGAATTCAAGCGTATTACTTGTTCACTATCTCATAGATGGGTATGCCGATGTGCCGGAAGGAATTCTCAAGTCGCCATTGAAGTTCAACAAATCTGGTGGGGGCCCCGTGGAAATACAAGAAGGAACATTTGTGCCATATAGCCAGCATTCAACGCTACATATGTATGATGTATTTTGGGGGCTTTTGATACCCACCACATGTGAGGAGTCGATATGTGATATTATTCGTGGTTATATAACTCAAAGACTTCTGTGGGATATCAACGGTAGCATGTCGGTCTCACCGCCCTGGACTAAGAGAACGACTCCATCCCGTCGAACATCGGGACAAAACTCTCAGTCTAAGGACACAACGCTGATCAAACTGACCAATCTTTTACTGGCGTGGTCCAGCAACTCAACGTCAATAGATAAGAGGCTAAAAGAACTGTATCTGTATTTATTTGATAAAGGGATCATTTTGAAAGAAGATCTGGCAATATTAGACACTTGGATACAGTTGCTGAAGACAGCTGGGTATGTCTTCCCGCGAGCCCACGTACCAAGCTGGGCCGAAAGACGGGCGATGCCCAAACCTTGGGACGGCGTTAGGTTGTGTGTTCATTTCAATCACATACCCGGCGAGCAACCATTTACAACACTGTATCAAATGTACAGCAGACATTTTAAGGAGATAACATTCACGGGAGAAGGCGCTACTCAGCCGTTTATGGATACAAGCGTTCCTTTCCTGCCGTGCACGGACAAGGAACAAGAAGGTGGCAAGTTTCTGCACCGCTGTCTTCTAAAACATCTCACCTATGAAGGGTTTGGAAACAAAAATACGTCTTTCCTTTTCGTCAGTGATGATACCTTCTTTAATCTTTCATCTTTTTTGTCCTATCGCCGAGACGCCATGTGGATATTGGGTCCCATAGAAACATACGACATAAATATCACGTGGCCAGACGGGTGGATGTGGTGGCCGCAAACGTACGGTGGCGCCGCGTTGCGGAAGATCATCGATATTATGCCTGGAGCGTGGAGGGAAGGCTTGGCTCACGTGAAAAATTGGACCAAATCAGGAAAGCGACTGATATCTAAGTATAACGCAGACACTGTATTCATTCCAAATAACCGATACCGGGCACGATTTATTGAGGTTTTGAAGTGGATGACGGGGCCTGACATTCCGCGTTTATTTGCTGAAATTGCCTTGCCATTATTAGTTGACCTAACTACGGAGAAGGCAGACCGATCTGACGTCATTCCGATGAAGAACAGTTATCCATGGTCGGATCTCGGTGCAGCGCTTCAGCGGCGGTCGTGCAATTTACTACATCCTTTAAAATTGTCCAAAGATAGTGATAGGATTACGTGGCTCTCCATGTTTAAAAGCGTTGAGAAGCTTTTACAGACACCCTAAAGCTGCAAAAGAATTAGTTTTCAATATGTTTAAATAAATTTGGCGTTATCAAATATAACTTATGTGTTCACTGCCGTTAAATTTTGACTGCTACCTGCTTTGAACCAACTGTAAACATCACATTACTTTCTCTGCGGATTAACTTTTAAGTCAATTAAAATTGGCACAGTTGACCACGAGTGTATGGGCTACAATCAAGTGCCTATATTTTGGTTTAAGTGTTTTTGTTATGGAATTATGAGCCCCTTATTATAGATTTTCATTAAACGTGTTATTTTGCTTTATCAACGATAAAATCAGAACTAAGACTTTTAAGAAAAATCGGTAACAGAGTTTTAGAGTATAAATGGTGTCATTAAATCGGCATTGAAAAACGGTGATCATGGGTGCTTAGGTAAAAGAGAACTTTTAAGAAACCGATTTTTCATTTTTTTCCCCAAAATCGGGCCCAGTAGTGGTTCAAATACTAACAGTAGACATAAACACTATGCTGGTGCGCATGCGCAGACGATTAGCACCTGAGGTCATCTGAATATAAATTTTAACCTGCAAGTTCATGGTGTCATCACACGTAAGTAGCATGCGCTAGCACCATAGTGTTAAATTTGATATTTGGATCTCAACTTTTGACCTTTTATAGTACGCATTCATTACTTGATATTTATATTCACCCGCTACTGATACTTTCGACAGGGGAAAGACCTCCATATGAAAAATTTTACAGATGTCTTTTCGTCTCGTCTAAATATTTGTTTTATTTTTTCAAAAAGCCACAGTATTATTGTCCCGGGGATGTTTATGTTTATTGTTATTATTGTTCTTCTTGTTGTTGTTTTTGTTGCTAGTTTTAGTAGTATAGTGGTAGTTAGATTAGTGAATGTATAATAATGGTATTGGTAGTATTTTCAACAATTTTTAACAATAAATTGTCTATATTTTTTTTTATAAATTTCGATATTTCTTTAAGACTTCGTATAAATTAGGAATTAATTCAAATTTTTCTCTTCTCAGTAGTAGTAGTAGTAGTAGCAGTAGTAGTAGTAGTAGCAGTAGTAGTAGTAGTAGTAGTAGTAGTAGTAGTAGTAGAATCAGCGGTAAAAATTCTATAGATCTGAAAAGAAATTAATAGGAATTCACAGTAACAATAGGGATTAATTCCGACTCTCTTCTTCTAGGTTTTAAACTTTCTTTGATGCAGGGATTCGTGTGCAAGGTGTATTTAACACCCCATTTCCAGAGAACATGAATTTGCCTTTTTTATTTTGAGTCCGATAGATTAATTGATTGAAATGGGATCAGGAACCGATTTCCCATCATGCTGTAGTGAACATTTTATAGCTTCTCTGTGAGGGAGATAAACTTGTGAGGGATTGAATCTTAAACAGGTTCGTTTCGTCACAAAGACCTACATTTTGGAAACAAATTTCCCCGATTCTTTCCTCAAAACATTAACATAAACTCAGTAAATTTAAGTAATAATCAAAGTACAAGTTCCAATTAAGCGATTCGATTTTTAACATCCAGTAAAAAAGAGATAAAATTTAGGGGCGAGAGGAACACTATGAAAACATTTAGTTCGCACTCTGATTTATTTATCCCCACAAAACAAATTACAACTAAATTCATTTTATAACCCATTTATTCCCGCTTTTTACCCAGAGAGTCCAAGTAATTTGAATTGACACTATAAGCATAAAAAACAACAAAAGTGAAATAGAGGGTAATCGTTACTTAATTAAGCAGAAAAAAATGACTTCTAAACATCAATATCAGATGTTCCTTGGAGAAGGCAGTATGTTCCATCAACAACGTTACTTTGACCTTATTTTGACTACATTTGATTTCCAACGATAACAGTTTCATTTGTATTAATAGTGCTTTAGTAACATTGTGATTTTGGCATTCCTATTTCAATACCTGAAAGTTTTCTTTCTTCGAGTTTCTTTTACAAACAATTATGCATAAGGGATAAAAGTGGTATTGACAAGTTTCCAAATTGCGATATTTCATAAGAACATCAAGCACTTTAAAGAGACGTCATCAGATATATCATCAAGAAATACACATTTTAGTAATGCAAGTATTTAGCACCAACACATGGTATATATTCTTCACCAGTTAACATTAATTTCACCTCCCATGAATTGTATTCAAAAATCGTAGTCCTCAACGTTCTCGATTGTCGGTATGTAAATTGGCCGTTTACCGATATGGGTATTATAAGGTATGGTTCCTGTTGGTTTATGAACCTTGCTTATCTGAAATAAAAAAGAGAAATCGATCTTGTGAGTGTGTAACATATGATAAAACTTGATAAATTGCAACAACATGTACACACACATCTAAATGTTGGTATGGGAAAAGAAAAAAAACATAATATGCAAATAAAATAATATAAAACAATAATTAATGTATCTTAGGTAGCTGAAGGACAGTTCATAAGTAATTTCTGTAGCATATTGACTAACCTGTAAACAAATGAGGTCAGATGTCGCCTGCGGTCAAATTTGAGCTATTTCCGGAAAAATATACCAATCAATTTATGAAACTGAAAGTGCTACCACACACACACACACACATACACACACACACAAAAAAAATCTACCTAAATGAGCTGCTTTCACATGATTCTTTGGCCACACAACGCGTTCGCCCTTGCAACCCTTGATGACTTTCAAAAAGTGATTGGAAATCATGCTTTAGCTAGTAGATGATATGCTGATGTATTTCATAATTGCCGCAGGGTAATTATAGAAATGTCCCCAAATAGAACCTCTTGGTATACGCTGTGAGCCATGTCTTGAGAATTATTCTGAATATAATTAGCTCTTGTTAATATAACGCATATTATTTTTACTCTCCATTCCGCCAATTTACCCCTCATTTCAGCATTTGCAAACAAACCTCTGTCCTAAAAGTCTAAACATCCTCTGTAGCTACCTGTTGTCTGCCACATTGTGCTTGGAGAAATTGCAATTAAGAGTTATTAGAGGAGATTTATTAGAGGATTTCACATTATTTTGCGTAATTTATTTAAATTATTAGCTGTTATGTCATGCGTATTTCGAGCTGAATGAATATAATTTTACCTGAGTATTTCTTTTTGTTGCTTGTGGGATGCGCTACAAACACAGTAGGCAGAATAAAAGTTCACTATTTGGTGTAAATATACATGCAGATTTTACAGATTATTAAAAGATGTCCTTTAAAGGTACATATGAAGCGAGAATCGGTGGAGCGTGGATTTCCAGTAACATATATAAACCACTTCTACTAGTTTCTTATACGACTCAAATAAATTTCATATGCGAAGGGATAAATTAAATAAATCACTGTTTTAGTCATAAAAGAGCTTAAGACTGCTTCTTTCTTTAAATTTTTGGTCAGAAATTTAACCTACTTTCGTGACCTACTTTCCTGACCTATTGATATACAGCATAGAATGCTACCAGAAAAATCCATTCAATTATCATTTTTGGGGTAAAATTAAACAATGCCTTTTGGTAATTCTCTTAGTTATACTACTTGAAACTGTATGCTGGCATTTGATTGGATTTTGTGGCAAAATATTGACTTCACAATATGCATCTTGAACATGTATTCTATTTCCAAACGTGTTTAATGGGGGTTTTCTATTTTCAATTTCATAATAAAAAGGACATGTGGTTTCTTTAAGTCGGTACGAACTGTTGGTTTTCAGCACCAATATCTACCCAAAAGATTTTTTCTCTATGCTTAATGTGCCGAAACACCTACCGTCCGATATCTTGTAAACTTGATTAGCCCATGGTCCACCTTCTCCATCTGACTGACATCTGATAGAAGCCCCATATTTCTTATATGTCTGCCCAGCGTCACTGGAAGAGGCACACCATCCACCGTGCTGTATGGCGAAATACTGGTACCCGCGTTTCTTTGCAGCTTGGTAGCATTTCTCGATTGGGTTTTCTCTTTTCCAGTAAGGCCCGTCAAGGATGGGATCTTTACCTTCTAAAGTAGGAACTGCCCGGCTTGGCCTGTCAGCCCAGCAACCCAAATTTACAAAATCTGTGGAGATACAACGTACAAGCAAAACTCAGAATACGTCGATATGAGTTGACCACGTCCGTCAAATAATCGAAGCGGATATATATATATATATATGAGTGAAATCGCACATGCGCATTTCATCACGAAAAGGCATAAAGACAATTTGGTCATCAGTTATGGTAAAAAACATGGAAGTTAAACGCAAACACGTAGAATGTCACGCAATCGATTGCACATTAGAAAAATGCGACAGATAAGAAGTATAATTACTGTTTGCAATTTCAAAAATTATACAAATATCAACTTGGATACTATTACTCTTTTCATTAATGCACACTGTTGGCTTCAATTGACAATATCCATCCAAAAGATTTCTCTAAATATTCTATGAGAAAAGCGCCGAAACACCTACCGTCTGGTATTTGGTAAACTTGATTAGCCCATGGTCCACCTTCTCCATCTGACTGACATCTGGTAGAAGCTCCGTATTTCTTATATGTCTGCCCAGCGTCACAGGAAGAGGCACACCATCCACCGTGCTGTATGGCAAAATACTGGTACCCGCGTCTCTTTGCAGCTTGGTAGCATTTCTCGATTGGGTTTTCTCTTTTCCAGTAAAGCNTGAACAACATATATATATCAATTAACACAGTAGGTGTATTTCTTTATTTTAACATACCGTTTAATTATTTGGCGTTTCAAGAATAACTTATAATTTATGAAAAACTGGTAACTTACTTTTAGCAACCACGTGCACTCTGTTGACTACCATGGCGATAGTCAAAATAAGAACAATGGAGTAAATCTTCATGGCGTAGAGTAAACAGGCAAGGGAGCAAGATGTGGTCCAATGTCTTTCTAAAATTAAAAAAAAATAATGTCGGAGCAGACAATTTATAATATATACATCAAGGATAGAGCACAGAAGCTGAACACGACAATATTATTCATCGACCACCTCATGGTAAAGTGCATTAATTGCACATGGGCAAAAACTTAGACCATTATGTGTTCAAACCACTTTTTTTATGGAATTTCTATATCCAGAGGCAGGAATGTTAACCTTTCACGTAAGTACTAAGCGGGAGACGCAAGGTAAGGCAGTGTATATAGTGATAATTGGGATTGAGGATTTGAGCAAACTGTTATTTGGAAAACCTACGTGCAAATAACAAATTTTAGGTCCAATGTCTCGTTTAGTCATTGTTTATTAATCGAATCTTAAAATGGTCATTGTTGTCTATTTTTTTAAATATATAACTTAGTGTCCATTTGTATATCGATTTACTTATTTCTTCCATTTGGGGGTCTATTACCACATTCTGGATGCCGGTAAAAGGGGGGGGGGCGGTAGGAACGTGAATAATATAACCGCCCAAGATATATGCATAGCAATAAAAATCTTTTGTCAACAACTTTTTATTCCATAAAACGGTAAATAGATTTTTTTCTCAGAAAAAGTTTTAGACCTATATCAAAATAACTAGAACCGCCTACCCAAAACTATTGCATTTATTGCGTTGAATCTGCCCTTTGTCTGAAGGAATGTGCCTGTGATGTCATAATATCAGCTCCATTTTCAACCTAGAGTTCTTTAGTCATGGTAGGTGGATCGTTGAAGAAAAAAGAAACACCTGAAACTCTGGAATTGACTGCTGTCACCGTCTGTGCCCACTCAAAATGTCACAATGGCCTGGACCACTACAAGTTTCGTTAATTGTCTACGACGAAACCTGCTGAATTTGTCCTTAGATACAGTAAAGATAACTTTTTCTATTTCTTTGATTGGTCGTAAAACAAACTGCGAATTCCCCTTTTGTTTTTAGTGAGAACGTGTCGTATTTATGCGACCGCTCGATTATATTATGGATGAAATTACTATAAATTGTACTAACGAGTGGTTTTCTAATCCAAGTGTAACACACTCTTTCTGTTTTTTTAACAAATTCTGTGACCTCCGACAACTTCAGAGCTTTCGACAAACTAAAAGCTGGGGTTTTCATGCAGAGATGCGTCTCAGATTCATTACATTATATTAATAAACCGATCAAGGTGACAAAACATCGTGTTGCTAACCTCGTGGCACATTTACCTGACAGATATTGAGATAACCGAAGATCGGTTGCGAGAGTTATGCATATCGATGCTAAGAAGATGCTTCTGCAGAACAAGTACAATGTTCTTGCACGTGCGCAGTTTGAAGTGATTTTACATTTTCAAAAGAGCCAGGATCGTGTTGGAGAAAAGTGCACATAACTAACATGCAACCCGGGTACAGAGCCTACTGGTTTATACCTGTAGTTTCCAAAATCATTTCTGAAAAACAACAACCGCACATTTGGAAATAAAATGACAATAGTTTCTGGTTGCCAAAATCGTATGTGAAAAACGACACTCTTTCGTAGAAAAAATAACAATAACAATAATATCTGGTTGCCAGGGTCTTTTTTGAAGAACAAAACTAAAAAAAACCAGACCCTGAACAATAAACTCAGTGCCCTAACTGCCCATGTGAAAATAGTTTCTTTGGATCTTAATTTCAATAGGTCTGGTTCAGAGTAAACAGAGGAAACAGTCAACAGGTAAATCAAGTTTCTGGATCTATCATAAATGAAAACTTTCTGACTAACTGCCCATGAAAAAAGTAGATAAACAGCAGCACTTACTGAATGTGGCTATTGGCGGCAATTTGGTCCTCCCAAAAACTGCTATGCTTGTAACCTTTCTGTCAAGAACAACTGTAAAGTTGCTTTGAGTGTGATGTCTTTTATAGGCGTAAGTTGGTGTTAATGATCAACTTACGTGTGCATGCTTTTTGTGAAATATAATTCGGTTGATGCGAGAAAATCAATATTTTATAACGAACAGGTTGAAGTACATACACCTTTTGTTTTCCTTTCATTAAAAAATAATATTAACAGCAGTGATTTAGAGCCTTAGAATTCTAGATCTTCAGATGTATTTGCCGTCACAGTCCGGCACTTGTTAACGGTATACTAACAAATATGTTGAATATTTTAAAAATAAAATGCACTTAATAAAATAGACACAGAAGGCTTGATTTATCGCAGCATATCAACAAGAAACAGTTATGTAATGAAGTAGCAAAACGGCACTGATAATTCATTATATATATTTTTTCCTCCGCCAAGGAGGTTTTGTTTTCACCCCTGTTTGTCCGTTTGTCTGTCTGTCATCAACATAACTCAAAAAGTTATTGACAGATTTTGGTGAAATTTTTAGGAACTGTCAGAAGTGGGCCAAGGAAGAGATGATTAGTTTTTGGTGGTGATCCGGATCATTCAATAATCAATAATCAAAAATCCATCATCAACATGACTCCAAAAGTTATGAACCGATTTTGATGAAATTTTCAGGGTAAGTCAGAAATGGGTTAACTTAGAAGTGATTATTTTTGGTGGTGATCCGGATCAATAATCAATCAATAATCAATAATAATAAAAAAAATTGCTGCCTTGGTATGCGTTCTCGGAGTGCTTTTCTAGTTGAAATAAAATACTTAAAAAAATATATATATATATATATATATATATATATTTATATTATTAAAAAATATATATATATATATATATATATATATATATATATATATATATATATATATATATATATATGGTTTTGTTTTCAACTCAGCAGTAAGGTAAACAAGTAGCAATACTGCTGGGAAATGGTGTCAGTTTGGTTCTTTTTTACAAATATTAATGGGTCCAAGGTGTAATTCTGGTTTTCATTTGCATTCACCGTATCTGATTTCCTATTAAAGTTCAATGGCTACCATATGTTATCTAAATCAGTTTTGAAGATGCAAAACCATGAAAATTTAAGATAATTAACTTTATGCATCGTAAAGAGGGTTGTTTACATGGAACCTTGGAGATTAATTTTCGATATGCAATAAAATGGTTCTATTTAACTTTCAGCGAAACTACATGTACTGTGAGCGGATCGTCATCGGTTCTTATAGGTATTATTATCAGATTGATGTGTCCAAGCCGAGACTCCATAAGCGTCTTCATGTTTTTGTTCTAAGTGGAATGAAAAAAGTGTCCTATACAAGCAACTGCTCGATTATATTATGGATAAATTTACATACCATCTGTACTGCTGAGGTTTTCTGAACATATTGCGTGACCGAGTCTTTAGGCTTCCTTCCAAATTCTGTACATGGAACAAAGCAGTTATTTTTCTGCCTGGTGTATCTTTTTTTGTATCGTATTTAATAATTCAGATTTCATTTTGGAAAAACTATCTGCTTTGTTTGAGAACAAAGCAAAATCGCTGACTCAATCTTAACTGCCATTATGTCCTCGCTTGGTTGAATTAATTAGTTAAAACTTGCTGCATATAGGCGGGTACAGAAAAGAATGTCAAAGGCGTCCCTTTGTGTGTACAGTTCATCAATTTGCTTCTTTTTTAATGATTCAGATTTAATTTTAGAAATGTAATTCTTAGTGGAATGAGAAAAGTCCTACGCATGAATATCTCTTTGTATCACATTTAATAATTCAGATTTAATTTTTGGAAAAACTATATGTTATCTAAATCAGTTTTGGAGATATAAAACCATGAAAATTTAAAATAATAACTTTATGCATCTTAAAGAGAGTTATTTAAATGAGAACATGGTGGTTATTTTTCGATATGCAATACAATGATTTCTATTTTTAAATAGAAGTTAAAACTCCAAACGAAACTACATGTATTGTGACTTGTCATCAGTTCTTATAGGTATTATTATCAGATTGATGTGTCCAAGCCGAGACTCCATTTGTGACTTCATGTTTTTGTTCTGAGTGGAATGAAAAAAGTCCTACGTATGAAAATCTATTTGTATCGTATTTAATAATTCAGATTTAATTTTGGAAAAAGCCGCTGCCTTGATCTTAACTGCCATTTCCTCCTCGCTTGGCAAAGTTAATAAGTTTAAACTTGCTAATGCATATAGGCGGGTACAGAAAAGGATGTCAATGGTGTCCCTTTATGTGTACAGTTCA